ACCAGGAAACCTACACACACGTATGCATTATTGTTAATTATGTACATATACATACATTTATATATGCATGTGTATATGTACTTACAATAACAACAAATAAGACTAGATATGATTATGAATATATATTCATATTTCAGGTATTTTCAAATATTTTTTAGTTGTCAATAGATTTTTTACTTTATTTATTTATATGTGGTGCTGAAGATTGAACCCAGGGCCTCACACAAACCAGGCAAGTGCTCTACCACTGGGCCACCACCCCAGCCCCTACAGTTTTATTTATTTATTTATTTTTAAAAGAATATTTGACTTATTCATGAATCTTATTGAATATTTTTTTCCCTGTGGTGCCAGAGTTGAACCCAGGGCTCCTGCCCTCTGGGCAGGCACTCTCGGGGCAGGCACGCGCCCACTGAGCCCCAGCCCTGCCCTGAAGTTCTTAAATAGCTCCGATGCTCGGGAACTGAATCTTAAGCACGGCTGTTCTCGAGGTCTCTACTTGACAAGATTCACTGAAACTGGCCCAGAAATCTTATTCTACTCTGTCCACCATAGAAGTCAACATTGAAGTCAAAACACTGCTGGGCACAGGGTACACGCCTGCAATCCCAGTGACCAGGTTGCTGAGGCAGGAGGATCGTGAGTTCGAGGCCAGCCAGAGCAACTTTGTGAGCGGCTGTGTCTAAAAAACTAACTAGACTGCACGAAATACGGGCTGCGGGATGCAGGTGCCTGAGCCAGCTGGCCTAGGCTGAAATCCTGCTCGGTGGCTTACCAGCTGGAGTCCTCACGTCTCTCTGCTCCCCGTCCTCCTGGGTAAACTGGAGGTCACAGTGGCACCCACCTCTAGATTGGGGGGATTATGGGAATCCACTCACAAGGCCCGGCACGGTGGTGTACACCTGTAATCCCAGCCACTTGGGAGGCTGAGGCAGGAGGATCTCGAGTTCAAAGCCAGCCTCAACAATTTAGCGAGGTGCTAAGCACCTCAGCGAGACCCTGTCTCTAAATAAAATACAAAATAGGGCTAGGGATGTGGCTCAGTGGTCAAGTGCCCCTGAGTTCAATCCCTGGTAAAAAAAAAGAACAGCGTTGGAAAGTTCTGGAGAGTTAGCTGACACTACTGTGGAATTCCTTAACCTGAGACCCACCCCACTCCAGTCCTGTTGGTTCACCACCTCTGACTCTCTGGGTGCCACCGCTGGACTTGGAGGGTGCTGGTGGGTGTGGGGCCTTCTTCCCCTTTTTCTCTCCAAGGGGAAAAAAAAATAGATCACTTAGCTCAAGTCTTTTTTATTTTTTTCCCAAATGCTCTGAGAGCGAAAGTAATAAAATATCCAAGAGGCCCATTTAAATGAAGCCGAGGTATAATTTGCATGATAAAGATATATTTCCATTTATAAAGTTCATCAGCAGAATTAATGACAAATAAAGGGAAGATCCAATTAACGTTCCCCCGTCCATTAACCATCCTGCCTCACTCAGGGCAGGAAGCTTAAAAGGGGAGGCTGAAGTTGGAAATGATTTAAATATTAAGGCTGGTGGCATTAAAAGGGACATGAGATGATCACATTAGAATTCAAGGAAAAGAGATTCTGCAGCGATTTTGTCAGGGAGTCAGACACGATTCCCCCCAAGTCCTAGCTCCACCGGGTCTTTCTTGTCCACCCAAATGAGCTGTCAAGAGCTGACGGGCGCCGTCATAATCCAAGAAAACAAGTTTGCCCTTTAAAGCAGGGGAGGTAATTTGGCTGAAAGCAAATTGGAAACATTTCCTAGAACGTCTCACGTTTCCAGCCTCCGTCTTTTGATGTATGCCTCAGAGCTCTGGGGGACAGAGGGGAGAAGAGTGCTCCTAAGTGCTTCGTTCACATGCATTCTGCAGCCTTGGGGTGAAGGTCTGCATCCTCTGAGAACCCCAGGGCTGCCCCCAAAACTTTATCTTCAGGAAAGATCTCAGAGGAACTGAGGACATTGACTGGAGAGCAGGAAGTGGGTGGGAATCAAGGGGGTGCAGACAATGTGACATTCTTCACCTCCCTCCGCAGCTCCCGAAGAACCACCTGCTAGTCAGGGAGCCAGACATACAGCACCTTGCTGGCCTCTTTCTTCCTTGTTCTTAGTCATCACATGTGTTTTCTTTCTTTCTTTTCTGGGGTACTGGGTATTGAACTCAGGGATGCTTAACCACAGAGCCACATCCCCATCCCTATTTTGGATTTTATTTAGAGACAGGGTCTCACTGAGTTTCTTAGAACCTCACTAAGTTGCTGAGGCTGGCTTTGAACTCGCAATCCTCTTGCCTCAGCCTCCTGAGCTGCTGGGATGACAGGGACACGCCCCTGCACCCGGCTCCAGTGTTTTTCTGATTCCTTCCTCTTTCTTTACTCTTTGGTTTGGTGAATTGAAGATGAACTTCTGTGGCTTCAGACACCACTTCTTCGCCTTTGCAGCTCCAGCCCTAGGGCCTTCTGATCCTGTGTGGTCAGTGCTGGGAGTTGAATCCAGGGCCTTGCACAGAGTTGTTGCTGGTATTTTTTCAGCTAGGAGTCTTTGATCACAAGTAACAGAAACTGGCCCTGGCTAAGCAAAATGCTGAAGGAAAGGCTGAACCAGGCCTCAGAATGGACACTGGTCAGGAGGTTCTGGGGTCTTGGCAGCAGGAGCTTCAGAAACAACCTGAAGCATCAGCTCCCAGGGTTTCAGGACTCATGCTCCTAGGAGAGCCGGCTCTTTGATTGACAGCCCCACCAAGACTGCTGTGAGCTTCCTGTCACTCTGACAAGATGCTCAACAACTTCAGAAGAGGAAGGGTTTATTGGGCTTGTGTTTCTGGACTTCAGTCCAGGGCTTGTGGGCTCTGTGTGCTTGGACCTGTGGCAGAACAGGACCTCATGGTGGAAGCACTTGATGAGGAGATTGCTTGCCTCACAGTGGCCAGGAAGCAAGAGATCAGGTGCAGTGCCCATGCCTGCCATCCTAGTGACCCAGAGGGCCTAAGCAGGAGGACCACAAGTTCAAGGCCAGCCTGGGCAACTTAGTGAGGCCCTCAGGAACTTAGTGAGACCCTGTCTCAAAATAAAACATAAAAAGGGCTGGGGGTGTGGCTCCGTGGTTAAGCACCCTGGCTCAATCCCTGCACCAAAGGAAGAGTGGGAGCAGGTCCAGTCTCCCCCTCTAGGGAGACCTAGCCCCCCAGGGACCCATCTTCCTCACACCAGGCCCCACCTCCTAGGCCTCCACTCCTCCCAAGAGCACCCCAGGCTAGGGACCAAGCCGATGGCGCCTGGGCCTTGGAGACGTTTCTGCAAATCACAGCAACTGCCCACAGCACGGGGGAGTGCCTTCCCCCAGAGAGAAACCTGGTGCCGTCACTGACGTCTGGGTCAGGGAAGGCCCAGACACCACCGTCCACCCTCTGCTCCAGTTAGGCAGCCAGGACCCCGCGGTGACACAGCCTGCGTCCTCCTCCCCTCCAGAGTCCTCCACGGGTCCTGCCGTTCTCTCCCCGTCACCCAAATTCAAAACTCTTCCCCACTCTTCAAGTCCTAGTGACTTTTTAAAACATCTCTCACATCCACAGGCAGAGTAGGAAAGTGGAGAGCACAGGGTGACCCCGAGTGGACATCTCTTCCCAAGGTGAGGGCCAGGGTCTTCCGTGCTGGGTAAATGGTCAAGGTCAAGATGGAGGAAGCCCTACTTCATTGGAGCTTACTTCTTAGAATAGAGAGGAGACAGTGCACAGGTCCACCTTGGGACCCAGGTGGCGACCCTCAGCCTGGAGAGAGAGTCTGTGGGCAGAGGGGAACGGGCGAGGAGAGAAGCTGGCGGGGAGCGGGGGGTCCATCTTGGTCCTGGTACATTGGGAGGCCCGCTGACCCTGAGCCATCGCCCCTGGGTGGGTGCATCTGAACCACCGAGTCCCTGACCTGGGACTTATACCAGTCACTTACTGAGCCCTCACGCCTGGGCCTTGTGCAGGAAGGGTCCCGCCATCCTGGGAGACTCTGAGCCCACCTGGGGCTGTTCCAGGGCCAAGCCGCTGAGCCTGTGCAATGGGGGACACAGGTCAGAACTGCTCATTGCCACCTAGGTTTTTCTGAAATGGCCTTTTGAATAAGCCGTTTTATTTTGTAATAATCGTCGATTTACAGAAGCATTGCCGAGCCTGCAGGCCATGCCTGGCTCCCGGAGGCCGACGTCCTATCCAGTCAGTCCACGGTGTCACTAAGGGAACAAGGCTGCTAACTCCACCGTGGGGCTTGATTCCTCTGGTTGTCCCACTGATGTCCCTTCTCTGTTCCAGGATCCAATCCAAGATCTCATGTTGCATTTTGAATGAAACCATTTTTTAGGTTGTATTTGGAGTTACCCTTCAGTGCTCGCCGGCCCCGGCCAGCCATCTTTTAAAACCACCCCTCGAAATCCTTGGAAATGTGCTGTTCCTAGTCCTGCGTGCCCTGCGCTCCGTGGTTTGTCCTGTGCCCATCCTGCTCAGGGTCTTCACAGGGGACGCCTGCAGGCCGTGTGCCTGGCTCCCTTGTCCATGGGCTTCCCTCTGGTGTTGGTCCAGGAGCGACTCTGGTGTCTGAGCAGAGCGGGAGGAGGCAGGAAGGGGCTGCTTCCCATCCCTCCACCTCAGGCTGCAGGGCCTACGAGCCCCGCTCTCCTCCTCTGGGAGCTGATGGCTGTGGCTTGAGCTTCCCATGGTGACCCAGGTCCCCAGCTCACTCCCTCCCATTAGCAGTAGCTGGGTGGCTTCGTCTTCCTGGGGTGGCCTTGCCACTCTGTGCCACCCACGTAAATCCTTGATTAAAATCCTCACAGCAGGGTCTCTTTTCCCGATGGTGGCACTTGGCCCTGTGACTCACCTCTGTCTGGGCCCTGCACTCTGGTGGCCCAAATACCACCACAAGGTTCTGTGGGAAAGTGCCCCCTCCCCATGAGCTCCTGGGCCCCAGGGCTCAGCGTGGCACTGAACACCGCCTCCTTCCTTGCAGGACTGCAGGACACAGTAGAAGCACAAAAGCCCCTTGGCCCCCCAAAGCCTCCATCTCCTGGGGCCCACGAAGCCGGGGAGGACTGCCAGCGAGATGGCCTTGGACGCCCTCGCTGTGATCCCTCTCCACCAAGGGCCCTCCTTCAGCAAGATGCCCCTGAGGACGGAGGCGTGGCAGAAGCCAGGCAACCTGGTGAAGCCTCCGGTCCCCTCCAAGTCCAAGCTCACCACCATCGAGGCCAAGAGGATCATGTCCGTCCTGGATGAGGCCATCTACAAAGTGGAGCTGGTGACCCTGCTGTCCTACGCCATCACCCACCCAGAGGCCCTGGAGGGGATGCCCGGTGAGGGCGTGGCGGTGGCAGTGAGGGAGCACGAGGACCTCTGCCAGGTGCTGCTGGGGACCATCAGCGACCTGCAGGAGAAGGACCTGCAGCTGCAGGCGGAGGAGGAGGCGTGGTTCCAGGACTGCCTGGCGGCCGCGGCGCAACTCAAAGCCAACCTGCAGCCTCAGATGCAGAAGGTCCGCGACTCCAGCAGGGACATCCTGCGCCTGCTGCTGACCGACCCCTTGGCGGCCAGGCTGCTGCGGCTGCAGGCGCTAGGCAGGAGCCCCGAGGCACAGCGCTTCATCGAGGGCCTGGAGGAGCTGCGGGGCTTCCTGTTCGAGAGGCTCCTCACCAGCCCCATGGAGGCAAGGGACAGAGCCCAGTTCATCCAGGACATCACCAGGTGCCACCGAAGGAACCAAGAGGTCATCGGTGCTCTGGAGACGGAGCTGACCGCGAGGATGAAGAACAGGGACTCCGAGGTAAGGCGCCGAGGCTCTGGCAGGCTGGGTCCCCACTCCTCTCCTCTCCTCTCCTCCCCTAGGGGCGGGTCACAGGGCCCCCGGGAGCACGGGGGTGGGCGGGGGGCAAAGGCTCGTGAATATCAGGCTGGGAAGTGCGAGGAAGGGCAGTACGGGGTGCTAAAGGATGGAACGCGGGCGAGGCCAGAGGGGCCAGGGACCCAGAACTGGAGACCTGCAGGACAGGCGGGAGCAGACCCAGCCCGTGGCGCAGAAGAGTCAGTCGTGGGGAGCAGGGAAGCAGGGTTTGTGGCCGCCCAGCCCATGCTGCCACCGTTCCATGTGACTCTGCCTGAGAGCAGCTCGGTGCAGTGTGTGCCCATCAAACTTTTCTCACAAACACAGGTAGCCTCCTGGGTTTGGAACCCCAGGCCTCAGTTTGCTGAGCCCTGATCCAGGTGGGGACAGTGTGTGCCTAGATCCTGAGGTGGCAATATGCCTGCAGTGCTCAGAAACCCAGGGAGCCAGTGAGCAGGGAGGGGACCCAGAAGGGCCTGGAGAGAGGGCAGAGAGTGGCCCACCCCAGGGATCCTGCTACGGGCCAGGGCGGGGCAGGCGGAAGCCATGGGAAGGTCAAGAAGGGACCTCACCCACAGAGAACCACCTTCCTCAGACCAGACCACCCACACCTTGGGCTTTACATACAGTTTTCTTTCCAGGGCTTTCTATCTAGATCACCTATGAGGTGACTGCATTTTTAGCTGTAGCCAGGGCCCTCCTCTGCCCCAGCCAGCCAGAGTGGCCTGTGCCTTGGCCACGCCCGGCACAAAGAGAGGCCAGGACAGGTCCTCTGTCTCTGGGGCACAGTCTCAGTCAGATGCTCTGCACCACAGCGTCTCCGGGAGGCAGCTGGGAGGTGAGGACTCCTCCACTCCTGTCCACCATGACCAGGGGGCGAGAGAGCCAAGGCCCAAGGCAGCCGCCCCTGCCCCGCAGTCCTCACTGGGTCTGTCCCTTAAGACACCCCTTGGAGGTGTCGGAGGAGCCATATGATTACTGATTTGGAGCTAGCCCCCCACGAGGAAGCAGGGGCCCTTCTCCTGTGTCTGGCACTGAGCCTGCATGATAGGGGGTAGATATTTGGGGGTGGGAAGGGTAAGGCCCAGAGGTCCTCAGTTGGGGAAGGTAAGATGGGAGAGGCCACCATCTAGGGACAGGGCGAGGGCCACCGCCAGCTTTGTGGGTCCCGTCCAGGTGGTAGAGCCAGCATGGGATTTTCTAGCTCTGGGGTCAAATGCCATTTTTCCAGATGGGCACATGTCACTATGTCATTGAGTATCAGTGGAAAATGAGACAGTGTCAGTCAAGCATGTCATGGGGATTCTCAAGCAAAGTGCTGAGTGCCGGTCATGCTGCTCGACCTGAAACCCACACCTCGATCACGAAGCCTTGTCCCGGGACAGGCTCCCCATGTCGCCCCGCCCTGGTGTGCGCCCAGGGAGTCAGTCCTGAGCCTGCGGCCGCTGCCCCAACCCCAGGCTGCCAGCATGGGCAGGCACAGCCCTACGGTGGCCAGAGGGGACCCAGGGTGTTGAAAAGCCGCTGCAGCTGTGCACAAGAGCACTGGCCTCCCTTGCCATCAAATGTCCCTGTCCCTACCCCTCATGGGTCCAGAGCAGGACTCAGCGAGGAGGGTGGCAGGTGGCATGCCGGGCCCCAAGGGAAGGGCAGGGGTGGCGCCCGTCTTGAGCCTGCTGGTGACGGCGTGGGTGTGACTGCCACCCTCCTTCTGTGCAGGTGGAGAAGGAGAACTTTGTGATCCAAGAACTGAAAAACCACCTGCACCAGGTGCTCAAGTTCTCCGAGAGCAGCCTCCTGCGCACCAAGCAGGAGGCCGAGAAGCAGCAGAAGGCCGACTCCCGGGTGTCGCAGGCCAGGCTGGCCAAGCTCCAGCAGGAGATCCTGACCCTTCGCTCACAGTACCACAACCTGGTCATGGAGAACCGGGAGGCCGAGCAGGCGCTGAGGAAGGTGCCCGCGGGCGGGGGACACAGGGGATGCAGAGGGACCTCTTTTCTGCTTCCAGGAGCCACTGATCCTGGGCACCATGGTTCCTGCCACTCAGCACCTTGTCCTCAAGGTAGCACGCGGTAGCACGTGTCATTGCCTCAGTCCTTTTTCTGGCTGAATAACATTCTGTCATATGCCTGTGAGCTGATCCTGTAAAAGCACCTAGATCCACCCAGTGGCTTCCCCTCTCCCTTATTTGAGAATCCAAAGCTTCACGGTCACCCCTTCAGTGACACTTGGGTGTCGTCAGGGACCACTCCCATCCTGGCCACTCCGTTCTAGCCACACAGGCTCAGTGTGTCTTAAACAACTCAAGCCTGTTCCCACCTCAGGGCCTTGGCACCTGCTGCTCCCCCTGCCTAGAGTGTCCTCGGAGCCACTCCTGACAGACCACCCACTAGCTCTGTCCCTTGAGGCAAGCAAGTGAGCAGGTCTGAGCCTCGGTTTCCTCATCTGTGAAATGGAGGACGAGGCTGCCGTCGCGGCACAGCAGGCGAGGCGGGAGAACACTGCCACACAGGGGCCCGCGTGCAGTGCTCAGGGCTGTCTGGGCCGGCATTATCCCATCAAACCATGACTGTGGGCTTTTGTGGGTTTTTTTTCTAGAAAAAATATAAAGTGGAGACAGAAATCGAGAACTGGATCCAGAAGTATGACTCGGAGATGAGTGAAAAGCAGGTATTTGTCACTAAGTCTCTTTCTGGTGGCTTCCCAAGCCAGATCCTTGAGGAATAGGAGGAATGGAGGAAAGGTCCCAGGATGGTCCCCGGAGCAGCCCCGCACGTCGTCTCAAGGGCTCCTCCAGGCTGGGCAGAGAGGCCAAAGTGGGCAAGGAAAGGCCCCAGGCTGCGTAGCCAAGGGAAGCGCCTGCACCGAGGGCTGGCGGTCCCGGTGCCCCCTGGCGGCCACATCCTGTACTCCACCGCGAGAGCCCACAGACGTGTCTCCACCACAGTCACTCAGCCGGCTTCCACTGAGATGAACCAGGTGCTGGGTTCAGCAGTGAGGAAAGTCCCCACTGTCACCCGAAGGTCCCAATTTAGTGTCACTTATCAGCTGAGTGACCTGAAGCAAGGGACTTTACTTTTCTGAGCTTGTGCCTGCATCTGATCTAGAGGCAGTGGAGGGGCTTCAGTCCCCAGAGCAGGGTCTGCAGGAAGGGCCGGGGACCCATAGCCTACAGATTTGGGAATCCCCAAGCGCCCACCCACTTCTGAGGTAGGGAGGCCTGGGGAGATAACATCAGCCCATGTGGCTCAAGGCCAGCTCTGCTGTCAGAAGAACCAGGGGGCATTGTCCTTCTATCTGACTGAGTGCCCCTGGGAGGGGCGCCTTGGGGCTACAGCTCATTTCTCTAGTCCCTGTGAGGGTCCTGTGGCCGGGGTGTCGCTCAGTGGTACGGCACCTGCCCAGCATGGCTCCCTCCCCAGCCTCGAAAAGCCAACCAACCAAAAATGGCCCAATAAGGGTCGTGGGTTCCTTGTGACAGCGACCTTGCCCACCTAGCCTTGTCCTGTTACTGGAAGGAAACAGGAAGGGGGAGGGGAAGCGGAGGGCATCTGTCACAGCAGGAGGGGCCTGCCGCCTCTGACCCCCAGGAGGAGTACGAGGACCTGGACCTCATCCACAAGGAGGAGAAGCTGCAGCTGGAGGAGCTGAAGCTGAGGCACGCGGTGCTGGTGGAGGAGTTCTCCCAGATCCTGGCCGAGAGGGAGGTCAACGCCAAGAAGAGGATGGAGGCCGAGCGCGAGATGCTGCGCATGGTCAGGGCCGCCACGCTCATCCAGGCCGTGTGGAAGGGCTACCTGGTCCGCTCCATGCTCAGGTCCAAGAGGAAGAAGAGGGTCAAGGGCAAGGGCAAGGGCAAAGGCCTAAGCCAGATCAAGGGCAAAGGCCTGGGCCAGGTCAAGGGCAAGGGCCAGGGCCTGGGCAAGGAGAAGGGCAAGAGCAAGGGCAAGGAGAAGGGCAAGGAGAAGGGCAAAAAGTGAGCCCGCCCAGGCTTCGCCTGCCCCCAGGCCTCACCTCCTCCCCAGACCAGGCCAGAGGCACCAGAGTGCAGAGACCGCCATCCAGGGGGCTTTGTTTGTTTTAAATTAAAAAACATTTTTTTAAAACCACATTCAAAGGAGCATCCTACAAATGAAGCTGTCTTTATTTGGCTGTGGGCTGGGTGCTGCCTATGGGTGCCCACAGGTGCCCAGCTCTGTGTGCAGCTAGGTGTCCATCCACAGGCAACCATTCCCTCCTTCAGCCCCAGTGGGAAATGAGACCATGGACTGCAGCCCCCTGTCCCAGGCTGGAAGCTGCCAAGGCTGTGACAGACACATCACCCACCTGGGCAGAGCAGGGTGTGGGTCACAGCAATCTGCAGGGGACAGACCAGGACCAGGCAGGGCTTTGGGCTGCCCTGGCCCTGCCCTGGGATGGTCGGCTTGCCCTCCAGCCCGTGTAAGCTCATGATCCAGATGGTGCACACCTGCAGCCTCCTGGCCCCCAAGAAGTTGAATGCGCTGGGAGCTATCACCTAGCAACCTCGCTGCTTTTTTTCTAGAAAAATCTCTTCAACTCTCAGGTTTGCAGCTCCCCACCCCAGACGGTGGAGACTGCAGGTGGCCCAGTCCCGAGGCTCCCAATGGCCTCCCACACACTGTGCCCTGGTGCTGGCCACCAATCATCCCGATGGACTATGGCTAGCTTTTGGTGTAGATGACAGGAAAAACAGGCATTTCCAGCCCTTGCCTGTTAAAATGGGAAGGGGGAAGCCATTGAGAGGTGGATGTTTCAAGATAAAACAGAAGCAATCCTCTGAAAGTCCCAGGAAGTTCACAGGGCCCAAGTTTAAAAGCATGTTTGTACCGCTGTCTACTTCCCTTGTGGCCCTCTGACCCCTGCAGGCATTCACATCGTGCCCTCGTCCTGAGGGCCTGAGCCCCCAAACTTCAGGAGCCAGGAGCCCCTGGCATCTGCGACACGTCCCCACACTGGCTGTCAGGTTTTCCTTTATTTAAATCAAGTCAGGCCTAACAACGGCCTATACCTAAGAAGGGAAGAAGCAAGTGACACTCGTGGCCTTGATGAGTGACTGACACATTTCATACATGGAAATAAACACATGAATGTTTAAATGAAAAATGTCCACCCACAAGGCCCTCAGATGCCCTCATGTTCCCCCACTGAAACGCAGCCCAGGAAAACACCTCTGTGGCCACCGGACCCCAGAGAAGGCTGCGTCCTCAGTAGCAGGCTGGTCCTGAGGGAGGAGGAGGGACCCTCCATTGGCAATCTGCACTTGGCCAGCTGGAAGTTGGGGGGCCTGGGTTGGCACTGCTTCAAGTGGCTAGGACTGGGCCAGAGAGTCAATTCCAGGGTGGCCGTCCATCCACATCAGGGGAGAAGGCAGGAAGGACAGATCGTCAGGGTGAAGGGATGCACAGGAGAGGCTGGTCTCCCAGGGGACCCTCACGGGGTGCCAGCCAGGCAAACCTGATGTGAGAAGCTCACTTCCAAGGGGGCTTTGGTTTCTGGGTGGCCCCACCTTGGCGCGGGATGGCAGGCACTGAGGCACTGACTGAGCAAGCCCTAGGAGTCACCAGGGGACTCCGGAAGGTGACCGCCGAAGTAGAGGGCCTGGGGGCCTGGGGTCCCTCTCCATGGGCTGCGCAGCCAGCGCTGGGGGTGTTCAGGTGGGTGAGAGACTGGGAGCGCCCCCGCCCCGGGGGGTGAGGGGCTCCGCGGCCACCAGAGGGCAGCTCGCGGGCGTCTGCAGCCACCCTGGGCCCCATCTTGGAGGGACCAGCTGGATGGATGGCTCGCAGCGGGGTCTCCCTGGGGCGCGGCGAGTGGCCGCCCCTGGGGGTGGCTGGCGGAGTCCAGAGGAGGGCGCGGAGCTTGGCGGCATCCCCCTTCGCCATCCCAGAGGCCTCCGGGCCGGCGGGTCGGGAGCCAAACAGCGACTCATCGCAGTAGGATGGGGAGCGACGGACAAGCCTGGAGGGAAGAGCAGGCAGTGAGCTGCGACCAGTCCCCCAGCGCCGCGGCAGACCCCGGGGTCCCCGCGGCCCAGCTCAGCACGTGCAGGGAGGCCACTGTCCCCTTCTGTTCACTGCCCCTGGGAAGCATCCAGACTCCTGCATCCCGACCCTCCGGCCAATTTGCATTTCCCATCCTTTCAGCTCTGATTGGTCCAGGAGCAGGCACATGACCCAAGTCGAGCCAATGAAAACCTGCCTTTGGATTTTTGAGGAAACAAGCAGAGAGACCACTCCTGCCAGCTGGCCTCAGCCTTGCTAGGTCCAAGCAGCTGGTGCCAGGGCACTCCTTTCTGGGGACAGAAGACACGCAGGGGAGGCAAGACTCAGAGCCCTCATGACAGCGTGAACCCCTGTTATACAGGCCCCAAGTGCCTTTTTTTCTGCTGAAGCTAGTTTGGATAAGTTTTCTGTCATTCGCCCCGGAGAGTTCCAATTACAGTTGTCCCATGCAGGGGGACTGGTTTCAGGAAGCCTCCTGAAGACCAAAATCTGTGGATGCTGGAGTCACTTGTGTAAAATGACACAGACCTTGCATATGACCTACACATGTCCTCCCAGATAGTTCAAAATCACCCCCAGATTACTGACAACAATTACTTATGAGACCTCATCAAGGTGACGATGACGTAAATGGTTGTTGTACTATATTGTTTAAGGAATCATGGGGGGAAAAAGTCTGTACATTATTCAACACAGATGCAATTATTTTCCCCAAATAGTTCTGATCCACAGATGTGGAAACCAAGAATGCAGAGGGCCAACAGGGATTCAACCAGTTCTTTTGTTTTTAAATACTATTAGTTGTAGATAGACACAATATCTTTATTTTATTTTATTTTGGGGGGATTGGGAATTGAACTCAGGGGGACTCGACCACTGAGCCACATCCCCGGCCCTATTTGTATTTTGAGAGACAGGATCTCACCGAGTTGCTTAGGGCCTCACTAAATTTCTGAGGCTGGCTTTGAACTTGTGATCCTCCTGCTTCAGCCTCCTGAACTGAGATTGCAGGTGTGGGCCACTGCATCTGGCCTTATTTTTTTATTTTTATGTGGTGCTGAGGATTGAACCCAGTGCCTCACGCATGCTAGGCAAGCGCTCTACCACTGAGCCCCAGCCCCTAGTTTTTATCCTTTGCCTTCCTCCCATGAGGTTCTCTTCTTTGCCCCAGGGGTCTTGTTGGTCCTCTGCAGTCCTATTGTCTCTGGTTGTATTTGACATCGAGCTGGCCAGTGCCTGGCTGACAGAGGATGTGTTACGAAGCCAGCTGGGCCATTCCACCAGAGCTTTTTGCAGTGTGGGATACTCACCGAGGACTTCTCTTCTGCGGGCCCAGGGCTCAGCACGTCACATGCATTATTGTTTAATTTCTCACAAAGTGCAAACCGAGATATCAAGATTAATCTCATTTTGTAGATAAGGAAACCGAGGCACAGGTATCCTTTGGATCTGGACTGTCCCCCAAAGGCTGGTGTTGAAGGCTTGGTACCCAGGGCAGCAATGTTCAGAGGTGGGGCCTCTGGAAGTGACTGGATCATGAGGACTCTGACCTCATCTGTGGATAAATCCACTGGTGGGTTCATCATTTGAATGGCAGCAGTGGGAGGTAGTGGAAACTGGAGGAGGTGGAGCCTGGTCACTGGGGCTGTGCCCTGGAAGGGCATATTGTGTCCCCAGCTCCTCCCTCCCCCATCTCTACTTGCTGACCACCGTGAGCTGAGCAGCTCTGGGCCACTATGACCTTCCACCTCGAAGCTTTGCCTTGCGACAGGCCCAGAAACAACGCAGCCAGTCAACTGTGGTCTCAAGGCCTCTGAAACCCTGGGCCAAAACAACCTTCCTTCAGTTTCCTCAGGTAGTTTGTGATCGCAACAAAAAACTAACGCAGCAGGGTAAGGCCCCATAAGAACACGGCAGAGACGAGACTCAAACCATGCCTGGCTCAAGGATCCAAGCTACTGATTGCTAAATCACACCTACGTGCTTTCCAAGTCTCTATTCTTAATCAGATTCCTTTGGCAATAATTTATATCTATTAGGTGCCAGGCCCGTGGTGTTTAGGCAGAACTGAGAGCACTCAAGCCTCTGAGAAGGCTACTTTTGCTTCTGGGTTTAGCTGCTCAAACCACATCTGTCTGTTGCCTGCATTTGTATAACACCAGGGTTCTGGCTTAATGATGTCCCTATCTTCTACACACTCCTTAACTTGTCACATCCAGAAAATTCCATGAGCATGGGGTCCAGTGTCACCTCCATTGTCATGGACAGCATGCTTCTGTTGATACTGCCTCCAGGCACATCAGCATTCCAGCGACTTTTTGGGTGTCAGTGACATTCCACTGACACTTGGGTGTCAGTGTTGTTAATCTCAACACGACCCTGCTTCGAGGTCTAGAACTATCACTCTCAGCCTGCCATGATGCCTGGATCCTGCTCTGATCTTTGTTGATTTTAGTCTCTTCACAGGTAACATTTCCACTCTCATTTCTCTATCTGACACATGCCCTCCACCGCCTTAGAACACCCTAAAATTGAATTGCCCAGTGGTTTAGTCAGCTTTTTCACTGCTATGACTAAAAGATCTGACCAGAACAGTTTTAGGAGAGGAAAAGTTTATTTGGGAGCTCATGGTTTCAGAGGTCTTAGTCCACAGACAGCCGGCTCCAGGTGCAAGAGTGCAATGGAATGGCCCGGCTGGCTTCTAGATGATCAAGAAGCAGAGACAGAGAGACTCTACTGCTCAGTTACAAAATTTATGCCCCAAGGCCACACCCCCAGGGACCCACCTCCTCCAGCCACACCCTAGTCAGTTACCAGTTAATCCCCATCAGGAGACTAATCCACGGATTGGATTAAGGCTCTTATAACCCAATCATCCCTCCTCTAAACCTTCTAGCATGGTCTCAGAGTGAGCTTTTGGGGAACACCTCCCAAACCATAACAGCCAGTTGTTATGAGCCAAATTGTGAGACTGTAATGACGGGCCCCTGATAGAATAGGACTGGTGTCCTTAAGAGCCCCTAAGAGTGCATACCTGCCCAGGCTGCGAGGAGACAGTGACATGGCCCTCAGTGAGCCAGGGAGAGAG